ATAGATGGGCAGTTGGGACAAATAGGAGACAGCAAGATAAAAGATTAAAATCCAGCTGCATCAGTAATCACATTAATTGTAAATGTTCTGAATAGCTCAATTAAAAGGGCAGAGATTTATAAACTGGATAAGAAGGCAAGGTCCAATTTTATGTTGCTTGTAAGAAATCCACTATAAGTCAAAAGACATCAATAGGTTAAAAGTAAAATGATGGAAAAAATATATAATGGGAGCTGGATTACCTATACAGTATCACACAAAGTAGACTGCAGAGCCAGGAAACATTACCTGGGAAAAGCAGCTCTTTCCATAGTGATAAGGGGGATACAAGTTTCAACTTACCAAGAGGACATAATCCTAAACCTTTATCATGCACCTAATAACAGATCGCCAAAATACACGAAGCAAAACTAACAGAACTGCATAAAATTCTGTCCACGGGTATAGTGGGAGATTTCAACACCATTCTCTCAAAAATTGGTAGACTGGGCAGAAAGTCTGTAAGGGCATAGGAGACCGATGAACGGTCTCAGCCGGCTTGACGTCATTGACATTTAAAAAACATACCACCCAACAGCGACAGAATGGAGCATGGACAATACAAGAATTCTCAAGACATATAAAAGGATTCAAGGCACACAGGGCATCATCTCTGACCACAGTATAACTAAGCAGAAGTCAGTAACAGAAAGATCTCTGGGAAATCTTCAACAAAAGAATGTATTTCTTCATAACTTTTGGTCCAAAGAAGAACTTAAAAAAGAAACCCAGAAAGTTCTTCGAACCAAAGGAAAATGAAATGACATATAATGTCAAAATTTGTGGGATTAAAGCAGCACTTGGAGGAAAATGGATAAAAAAAAAAGACCTGAGTCAGAGAAAATACAAATCACCCTTAGAAACTAGAAAATAAGAGTAAATTAAACCCAAAGTCATCAGAGGAAAATAAAGATCAGAGTGGAATCCAGTGAAATGGGAAACTCAAAAACAGAGAAAAATCAGTAAAACCAAAAGCTGTTTCTCGAGAAGATCAATAAATGTATGAACTGCTTGTCACACTGATCAAAAAAAAAAAAAAGTCTACACAATCCTACATCAGCAGAAGAAAGGGGACATCACCACAAATCCTATAAATGTAAAGCGGTTAGAAGAGAATGGTATAAACAATGTCGTGATGATAGAATGAACAACGTTTGGGGAATGACACAAATTTCCAAAGATACCTCAAAAAGAAATGGAAAACCTGATAGCCCTTTATCTTTAGAAAAACTGATTTTAGTTAAAACCTTCCCACTCTAAATACATACATACAAATCCAAGCCCAAGGGCTTCACATCCCCAGACATCTGAGGAAGAAATGGTACCAACTCTACGAATTCTTCCGGAAACGCGAAAAGGAAGGAACACTCTTGAGGCCTGCTTCACTCTGACCTCCAAGCCTTGTCTGGCCTACAAGACTACGGAACGACAACATTCATGAATGCGGATGCAAATATTCTTACCAAATTTTGGCACAGTGAATCCAACAATACATAGAACCGTTCCTACGTCACAGGCAAGCCCACGCTGGGCCGCCTTCCCTCGGAGCACCACCAATATGGCGCCAGCACTGATGGGAATCACCCTCCTGAGTCAAGCATTCACTGATACAGACATCAGCTGCTCTATTATCATCAAAACTACAGTTGGCGTCATGGTTATCTGGAGAGCCCAAGGAAAACACCGCTCTGGGACAAAAGCATTGTGAGGGCCACCGATGAAGAGGCAAGTTTGAGTATGCAGGTTTATGTGGCCAGCCGGGGTCAGTAAATAATTAACCCCCACCCAGCTCTGGCCTGGCCATTTCACAACAGTGTGAGACACCATGGTGTGGGCAAGACAGGCTGACATACCCGGAGGGCAAACGGGCAAAGTCTAGAAATTGCCTTATTTTGCTGGGTTTACGGGAAAGTGACGTGGCATTTCTCGTACACATCCTTGGAAAAACAGGTCAGTGTGTTGTGTGTAGGCAACACCACACACAACGGGGAGGGTCTCTCTGGCACTGAAGTCTCTGGGAAGCTCACTTGGGAGGTGGGGGCCGGGCATGGCACGGGGTGCTGGTGGTGTAGAACCTCAAGGCAGGATCAACCCCCAGGCTTCCCAATAGTTAAAGGGACGCCAATGCCAAGAAAAGTGCTTGCAAGCCCAGATGAGAGCAAAAGCCACCTCCACCTCTGACCATGAGGGTAGCCGCGGAGCAGGTGCCTGGTGAACGGGCTGGGGACCCAGATTTGCACACCCCCAGGTCTGGGGTCCGGCCTGGCTCTCTAGCTCACCCTGAGTCTGTTCTTCTCAAGCTCTGAGTAGCTAGTCACAGCTCAAAGATCAGAAAACAGAGGGGCCAGCTGACCACGGAGTGGGCACCTCCGGGGACCAGCCAGCCCAGTCACCCTGGAGAGCCAGCCGGAGCCAGACAAGACCAAGTCCCTTGGCACAGCCCACAAAAGAGGTTGTTCCCTGTTACCTGGCAAGGTTTGGCAAATGGCCACAGTCAGGCCTCCCTTCTGGGAGCCCACGTATGCGGCCGTCAGCTCTGGCTTCTACTCGGACCCGAGACCACCTGGAGGACTCTGCCAACAGACCCCCCGCCACTTTCTTCAGCGGGTTTGGCCAGTGCGGAGCATCCGCAGGAGCGGGGAGAGCACAGCTGGGTCCCTTCCCGCCTGGTCACTGAGGGCTGGCTGTGTCCAGTGGCTGCAGGCCGTGAGTCTTGTCTGGTGGCCCACCTGAGGTGGAGACCCTGCACTGTGGTGCTCCAGGCACCGCACCAGCCCGGGGTTGCCCGATACCTGCCAGGGTCTTCAGCGCCCCTGACCTCACCTGAACTGGGCTGTGGTCAGGCTTTCGTGCGGGACGAGAGTGGCAGCCCAAGTCCCTTGAGGGGCGGAGCCAGCATCAGGGGTGTTCCCCAGTCTGCAGGGGGACTCGGGGCCGGCATTGTCCACACAGCCCAGCCCACGTGTCCCAGCCCCATGGACAGGGGGCCAAGGGGTTCAGCATCTCAGGGGCCTCTGCCCCGCCCAGACTCCAGAATCCAGGTGTGCAGGGAAGACGGTGCTGGGCGGTGGGCCCTCAGAAGCAGGGGTCCCCCCAGCACACGGGGGTGGGGACTGCCCGGAGAAGACACTAACTGAGCACACTGGATGGAGAAGGACCGAAACAGGCACATCCCCAGGGACAGAAAGGAGACTAGCTGTTGCTCAGGGTTGGGGTGGCCGAAGTAGGGAGTGACCGCTAATGGGCACAGGGTTCTTCCTGGGGACATGCGAATGTTCCAACACTGTGATGATGGTTGCCCAACTTGGTAAATACACTGAAAACCGCTGAACTGTATCCTTTACAGGAACGAGTTGTGTAGAGCGTGAATTCTACCTCAGTGCAGCTGTTAGGTAAAACAGAATAATTAAGCCATGTTTTCCCCGGCATACGTATGTGTGTGCGTACAGATACACGTATGTACGTGGAATATGCGTGCGTGTGCACACACGTGCCTTCCCTCTTTTGTTTACCCAAAGTAACAGATTCATCCTTCCGGATCTTGAATATGCGTCCCGCCCTGACGTCCTTAGCCGGAATCTGTCTTTTCCAGGCTAACGAAACCAGAGAGCAAGTATCAGACTGGCCACTGCAGGTGGAACGTCCCCGGAGGTTAGCAAGGCGGGGTCCGAAGGCCACGCAGCCGCACTGAGCCCCTGCCCTGCGCCAGGCCTGCTGCCAAGCCTGGCCGCGTAGGAAACTACAGTGACCCTATCGCCCCCGGGGATGGAACGTTTTAGGCATCACCTGGACTGGGCCACAGGGCTGCGAACATTGTTTGTGGGGGTCTTTGCTGGTCTCTGGAGGGATTAACACCTGAAAGCCTGGCCTGAATGACGCAGATGGCCTTCCTCAGCGTGGGCGCCCTCACCCACCCAATCCTCTGGGCTTCACCTGTCCAGGGTCAGACCATGGCTATCCCTGTGCCCTGGACACCACTCGGACCCCTGGTCATCCCGGATCAGCCGTGTCCCCACTGCCTGGGCCCGGGCCCATCTGTGCCCCATTCCCCACCCGCAGGCCCCACCCCTGGGCAAGGCTGCAATGAGAACAAACACTATTAAATGCCCTGGACACTGAAGAGCTGCTTCTTAATATATCAGAATAAGAAAACTCTAAAGAGCTAACACTTGTGGGTCTCCATTCTATGGCATGCCTCCTCCCCAAGTCCAGATGGGGAAGCAGAGCGGAAGCAACCTGCCCCGGGTCAAGAAGTTTGCACGTTGCACAGACGGAGTTTGAACTTGGCCCAGAAAGCCAGATGGCCTCCCCGTCCAAAGGCTGAGGACACAGCAGGTGACAAGGGGGTCCCAGAGACACGAGCCCCGCATCCTGGACTGGGCCCAGAAGGGCACCTGTGTGCTGGTCACTTGGCAGGTGAGCAGTGCAAGCCTTTGGTGGTTGTCCCCTCCCTCCCTGGGGCCTGGGGCCCAGGGACAGCTCCCACATCTGCACTCCTCAGCCCCCTTCAGGCCTCTTATGCCAGAATTTGCCAGTGTGCTTGGTAATAATGGAGATTCCTGCCCTCCCCCACCTGCAGACCTACTAAATCTGGGGTGCACGGTGCAGGAGTCGGTGTTTTCTGGAGTCTGCCACGACCCTGCGGATACCTGCTGTCACGTGCAGCCCGGGGAAGGCTGAGCCACTCTGCACCGCGCCCCAGAGCTAGAATGCCTTTGGGGACAGGGAACTCACTGCTTTAAACACCGCCAAACTCTGGCGCCCGTCAGGCAGGGCTCACGAGGTGGTCGCCGGCTCCCCAGCGCTGCCTTCCCTCGGCCCCCGTCCTACACTGCTCGGCCCCAGGACCACGTGCTCCACCCGCACACCAGCTGGTGTCCAGACAGGAGCCCGGGACTCCCCTCCTGAGGGGCCCCTTTGCCACACACCCCCCTCCATGGAGCAGAGAGAGCGCATCTTGCCTGTGCCGCCCAGAGGTAGTCCAGCCGCAGCTTGATGTCCACCTGCCGGGCGTGCAGGGCCAGCGTGCACGAGAATAGCAGGATGGCCACGACCGGCTCGAAGCTGCGCCCGGAGACCGCGCCGCCCCTGTGCGGGTCGAGGAAGAAAACCTCGTCAGCACGGACAACCCCGGACCCAGCCCCACCTGCCCCTGGACACGCCACTCGGCAGCACCTGCCACAGACCCGGACTAAAGCCAGTCTCCCCAGGAAGCCCAGGGCCTTGCTGGAACCGGGCCCTAAATGGACACGTGGAGAAGCCACGGAACCAGTGTGCATCCTGATGTGCAAACCGGAACAGGCAGTGCCCGAGCGGGCGCACACGGCACCAGCCAGGTGTACCCCAGTGGGGGAGTGCACTTACCCCGAGGCCCTGGTGTACCCGCTGAGCTCCAGGACCAGGATGTAGGACGCGGTGAGCACGAAGAGCAGAATCATTTTGGGTAGGGAGGACACCCGCAGGAAGACGGCCAGAGGGAGGGTGCCCACGAGGCCACAGAGCAGGGCATGGGGCGCCGACTCGCAGGGGGCGGTGGGCAGCACTGCGTTCGGGCCGCCAGGCCTCAGGACCACCAGGGACCCATTGGGGCTGGAGCTCCAGGCCCAGGGCAGGCAGCTCACCTGGAGGGGACGGAGGGGAGGGAGACCCCCGCTCAGGACCAGCCCGCCCTCCGCCCCCAGCCCCCCACAGCCTCTGGCTCAGGACCCTCGCCCCCAGGTGCCACCAGAAGGCCCTGGACCCTCTCTCCTGCTCTGCCTTCCAGACTCCTCACAGCAGGGTGGGCGGGGCCGGGGGAAGGAGACCCCTGCCATCCTCCCCCCCCCCCCCCCCCCCCCCCCCCCCCCCCCCCCCCCCCCCCCCCCGGTACTCCCCACCCCAGCTCCCCCCCTGGTACTCCCCATCCCCCCTTCCCCCTGGTACTCCCCATCTCCCCTCCCCCCGGTACTCCCCA